ATTTATCTCGATCCATTGACAAATGATTTATACATGGCCATGAAACGTGAACATTCAGTACTAAAATTGGCATACAATAATAACACTCCTGTAATTCTAGCAGGTTAGTAGAACACACTAGTTGCGTATATAAATAATTAGATTTTGATTACTCGTCTTCTAAACATAACTTTTCCTTAGGAGGCAACGGAGCTAGCAATGGTTTAAATCAACCGAATAGTGTCGTTATGATTCTGTAACTGGCAATTTGTATATTGGTGATACAAACAATCATCGTATAATTAAATTCCCTCCAGGAACCACCAAAAGTTCCAACGGAGTAGTTGTAGCTGGTAATAATATCGCTGGTAATGGAACAAATCAATTAAATGGCCCACGGCATGTTATTGTGATAAGAGCGCTAATATATATATATATATATATATATATAGCTGATGGATGTAAGTGTCCTTACTTTGCTTGATTCGTTATGTAAAACTCACTTCTTTTATTTTCTTTGTGTCTATTTTTCTATTTTAGCTAATAATCGGATTCAACGATGGCTACCATCAGCTAAAAGTGGTGATATAATTATTGGTTCTGCAGCTGGTGCATCAGGTACAACAGCAATTTATTGAACGGTTAGGAAACATTGAGATTTGGTACAGATAATAGCTTATTTGTTGTTGATAGAAATAATAATCGAGTGCAAGTATTTAGTTTACTACCTTGCTAGTGATTACGGTATTGGAATTATAAGTCTTATTCTATATTTTGTTAATACGTTCTGAGAGTTTTGACATGTCTATTTTTATTAGTTTTTTGGTGTTGAAAGGATACTAAACATTTTGCAGAGCTCTTTTCGTTAGGTCATATGACCTAAGAAGCTAATACAACCTTCTCCAATATTCTAATGTGATGCAATATTCCAGAATATTATAAGATGATGTGGTGTTCTAGAATGTTCTAACACGACACGATATTCTAGAACATTCCATGATATAATATAGGATAGTATATATATATATATATATGTGTGTGTTTGTGCAGTTTGATTACGTTATGAGATTTTCTGTTATGTTCAGTTCTTTTATAATAAACACTTAAACAAGCATTTATAATCTTAACTCGGGTACAACATACCACTTTTGCAATATATGTGTTTGTTTTCTTTCCTTGACGCACCCATTCATCAAGAATGTCTATTCTAGACTTGCAATTTGAACTGTCTACATGCAATTTTTCTCTGAACTCTTGTATGTATGTCTCTACAAATAATAATCTCAGTCAAGAGAAATGTCCAGAAAACTGAGAATTATCTTCACGTAAAACAGGTTTTTAGAAAAATCACTCTCGACTAAAACTGAACTTTCGGCAAATTGCCGAAACCTTTGTTATAGATGATTCACATTTTTTAATTAAATGGGCTAATTGCTGGATT